CTACTACTATCACTACTACTACCACTCCTACTCACCACGACCACCACCGGCACAACGGCAACAACCGCTCAAGCTCTCCTAGCAGCAAGCTCTCTAACAGTTAAAGCATCTTCTGACCGTGACGAGGTAACCCAGCGCGGAGAGCCAGGTTTCCGAGCCTCAAGTTAGAAGCTTTCTGTTGATTTGTGTTAGGGTTTCAAGCTTTTGGGGATTTGGATCAGGGGCTTCGGCTTGAAGGCTTCGGGTTGGCTTTCAAGGCTTCAGGATGTAGCACCGCTGACTAAACCCGAGGTGCAAGTGATCTTGGGTTTAGGCTTCTAGGGGCTAATATATATATATATATATATATATGCTTTGGGGCTTAGGGCTGGGGACTTGAGACATAGAGTCACCTGAAGCTTCGGGCCTTGGTTGCGGTCAGCGAAAGCATCGAAGGAGCCAAGGCCCCAGCCACTGCAAGTAAGAGGACCTCAACCCTAAACCCTGCAGAGGATTTATTTAGGGTTTAGGGTTTAGGGTTTAGGGTTTAGGGTTTAGGGTTTAGGGTTTAGGATGTAGGAACAGCAAAGCAAGCCCCGGCTGTGCTGTTGCACCACTGTTTTGTCTTTTCGGTTTGATTTCCGCATCGGGTTTTTTGTCTTCAGGGTCTCGGGTTTGGCCTTTGTTTGCCTGAGGGGTGATGCTCGCCAACGAAGGATGATATCACGTGTTGGAGCCTCCTCTTCGTGCACAGTAAGAAATCAACGGCCGGCGCTGGCTGTCAGGGAACATGAAGATATTGGAACATACAAACCCTAGTTCCCTGAGCCTGAAGCCCTCAGCCCCGAAACTCCAATACAAACCCCGAAACCCTAGCCCGAGATCCTAAACCCCAAACTCAACCCTACATGCGCCCTCGAAGCTGACTTCATTTTTTGGCAAACGGGTTGGGTTTTCCCCGCTCGCATGGCAACGGGTTGGGTTTAGGGTTAAAGGCTCAAGGCTTTCGGGTTAGGGTTTTGGTTTGGGGCAATTTATGTTATGCTTCGGCTTTCACAAAGTGTTGGAAGTCCATTGGCCTTTCCGGGTGGGCCCACTTCAGAGTTTCACAATATCGGGGACCTTGATATAAACCCTCGACGGTATGAGTGTTACTAGAAGGAGCCCCAGATGACACAAGAACCCCGAATTCAAGGGTACCATCTTACAGAACCTTTGAACAAACTCCACAAACCCTGAATGAGAGAGAATGAGAAGCCCAGCTCCAGGCGAGTGAGAACTCAGCTCCCCACCGCCTGCGCAGCTCCTTTCGCACAGGATGTGATGGGTCCTGCACTTGATGCTTAAGTCTTTTGGGTTTGGAGATTTGAAGCTTAAGTTGTGGGACCAACTGAGCGCCTACCACCGCTACCGATAGTGCCAAATCTATTGATGCTGCTGCTGCTGCTGCTGCTACTACTACTACTACTACGACGACGACGACGACGACCTCGACGACGACGGGCTCCTCGACATCGTCAATTTCTTCGGAGATGAAGTCACTTTTCCTCAGAATGGAGCGGTTTAGATTCTGAGGGCGCAGGATATGGGGGGTTTGAGGCTTTAAGGTTTTGGGGCTGAGGGTTTGGGGGTGTCGGAGCGGTCGCAATCAAAGTTTTAGCCGCAGCAATGCTGTTCGACAACGCGTGGGGCTTCTGCGCAGTCACAGGGGTTTAGGCCTAGTAGCGGTTACAAGTTGACTCACCAAGACTCTAAGCCCGTGAACCCTGACACCTAAACCCTCAAGGCCTTAAGACCCTGAGACCGTATATTTCAAGATCCTTAATCGTAGCCTTTTTCCGACCCTCATACCCCCATGCTAATCCTTGCTGTAGCCCCTTCTCAACGATTAGGCACCCAGTAAAGGGAACCCCTGTGCCCTAAAGACCCCTGGGCTTTATTCTGGGGTTCCAGCCGAAGGCGTCCATCCGAGGGGAACCTAGAGCGGCCAGTGAGGCCACAAGTAGGCCACATGTGAGACATTTTCACAAGGAGCTCGACTGCTGCCCTTACTGCCCAGCTCGACCCGCAACACAGCACTCGTGACTGGGAAGACATGCCGTGGGGATCTCCAAGAAAGGAGCCTTGTTTCAGCGGCTGTCTGAGCATCTGAGTCTGTACCCTAAACCCTAAACCCAGAAAGCCCAATACCCCTCAAATGAGGAATATGACTAAAATTATACGGGGCTTCATATTATGATTTAGGCTATATTCCTTAAGTAAGGGGTACTGGGCTGTCTGGGAACCCTTTTCAACTCGGACTGAGGAAACCACAAACCCTAAACTCTAAACCCTAAACCCCTAAACCCTAAACCCCCAACCCTAAACCCTAAACCCTAAACCCTCTCCAAGGCCGAAGCTGCCGCAGCCATTGATGCAGGTGCTTCGCGAACTGGGCGTAGCTGTCCTTCCGCCGATTCCGAGGCGAAGGGCGACTACCCCGCGGGTGCTAAACAGTCCTGCACTTGGAGGTTCATGGGTAGTTATAAGTGCGGTTCCTTTAAGGGTTCCTTTAAGGGTTCCTTTAATTAAAGGGTTCTATAGGGTTTAGGGTTTTGGGGTAGTTATAAGTGGGGTCATAAATAAAGTAACTATAGCTACAAACCATACTAGGGGACTTATAACCCCACTTCTAACTACTCATGAACCTCCAGGTGGTCTCAGAAAGCCGGAGCCATGGGGGCTTACAAGTCACCCTTACTGGGGTTGCTTTCCCACCTCGCTTAGCTGACTGCGTCTGGGGATATTGGGGTGTGGACCCAGTGTAGGGTTTAGGTGCCTGCTTGAAACTGATGACTTCAATCTTACTTGCTACAATGCAAGTACAAGCTAAATCCCATCATCCAAGAAGCGTGGAGCCCCGTACAGCTCCAAAGCAACTCCAGTTCATCCTAGCTCCAACTGAATCCCCAGTCCTAAAAACCCCTTGAGAAATCTTGAAAACCAGTTGAAAACTCCAGAAACCCAGTCATGTGAAATCAGACAAACCCCGACAAGCAAACAGAAATGATACAAAAAAGAAAACCTTGGAAAAGCTTTGCAAGCCCCCATACCGCCCGTAACAACCGACGACGAAACCCGCAAGCATCCCTGAAGCCCCTTTTTGCTACTAGACTCGAGTCTAGCCAGACTGCAACCTGTGATCACCTTGACTTGACTCAGGCCGACCCCTAAACCCTAAACCCTAAACCCTAAACCCTAACCGTAAAAAAGAAACCCTGAACCCTAAACCGGCCTTGAACCGCGAACGGGGATCTGCGTAGATCTCTTGCGGACTCCGCCTTATTCCGTCGGAAGTGCTTGGCTTGGCGTGAAGAAGAAACCTTGGGGGGGGACCTTTAAGGGGTTCAGGCCTTGAAGCTCAAGTTAAGGACCCGAAAAGTTTGGAGGATCTAGGAGTTGAAAAAAAATGTAAAGCTTGAAGCGTCAATGGAAGGCCTTCCACGAAGGGGTTTAGGACAAATGGCTTGAGGCTGAAGACTGTGGTTTGGGGCTTGGAGCGCGACCTTTGAGAGTGTGAAAGCGGGTACAAAGAGTTCAAGATTCCAGTTGAAGGTTCAGAAACCCTAAACCCTAAACCCTAAACCCTAAACCCTGGTTTAGGGTGTAGGGACTTGAAAAGGAAGCTCTGCAGGGTATTGTTGCTTCCGAGGACAGCTCAGTGCATAATAATAATAATAATAATAGTAATCATAATAATAATAATAATAATAATAGCAAGCACGGACCAAGAACAGCCCTTTGGGACTCAACTTTCACACTCGCACAGGCAGGCACGGATTGATGGGTCTGACATGACAGTGACGTGCGAAGTCAGCTTTGGGATTAGGGCTTCGACTCACACACTCCCAAAGCAGGCATGGCAATAAGTGTCCGGGATTAGGGTTTAGGGTTCAGGGTTCTGTTTATGTCTGTGCCTGCTTACTGTGTCTATCCCTATCCAACTAATCAGCCAACCAGCCCACGAACTCTCTCAGCAGCTGGCCAGCTAGCTATCTAGCTAAGTACCTAAGATACTAACTACTCAATTAACTGCTTAACGACCCAACCGACCAACTAACGTAAGTATCCTAACGAACCTAACCAACCAAACTAACTTACCTAACTGACTCTCGACCTAGCTAGCTTAACCACCAACCAACTGCCCAACTAGCAACTAGCCAGCGAACATACTCACTAACCAGCCGAATGACCTACTTGTAAATGCTTACATGCCCATGCATCTATGTGCCCGTGGCCGTTTTCAAGTTTTGGAAGCAAGAAGACTGATCAATCATCTTTGGCGTATCATCTTACATTGGTATGAAAGAGCTACAGCCGGACTGGCGAAGATGGGCCCAGAGTGCCCAGCGCCTTCTGACTATGGGCGATTCCTGAAAACATTGTTAGGATTCATCTACAGCATCGAATGAATTCGCATGATTTTGAGCAACTATAACTTGCAAACCTGATGGTAGAAGCCTGCTGGAGAAAAAAAGCTTGAATGACGCCCTTAGAGGCTGCAAGGGTTCAGGAAAGGGCTGCCAACTTCAGCTTCATGCCCTGGGTCCTACACCCAAAACAACATGAACAAGAATAAGTATCAGTGAATGTACCATGTGTAGTAAATGTACAGACGTATACCTGTATATGTATAGAGAGAGAGAAAGTAAAAAGGTTGATGCACGTGTTTCGCTGCCCTCGATGCAGTTTTCCCGTGTTTCGCCAACCGCCCAGGCTTGAGCATGTACATATCTGGAGAAATATATTTGCGTTCGTCGAGGTCGGCGCTGTGCCCGTGGGTCCTGGGGCTCGTAGCTAACGACCTCAGCGGCTCCAAAAACCCTGGAGCAACTGCCAGAAAGTTGGAACATCTGTATCCCCAAGCGTGTAAGCTGCAGGGAATTCCAGCACGAATCATGCGTGATCTATGCTCTAAACTGTTAGGAGCTCAGTATACACTTTAGATGCTAATGCTAGGGTACAGGAGTAGGTTTTGGTCCAGTCTTCGGGCTTTCAGCCTCACCGAAGCTTCGGAGCAGTTCTTTCAGGCATCACAGCTTCCCCCATGCCCCTCGCTCGAGGGTGAGAACCTTACCTAAGGTCATTGCCTTAAGTTTGGGAGGGGTCCTTGGCAAGACCAACGGACCGTTCAAATGATTGCGGGGGACAAGATGCAACCCTCAGCCCCAAAGCCCCGTATCCGGGAAGTGCCCAGCAAAACCCTAAACCCTAAACCGGTAAACCCTTTTGCCCCTAAACCCTAAACCCTGAACCCCAAACCCTGAACCCTAAACTCGTAGAGACGATGGGAAACTGCTCGGATCCCGAGCAGAGGCGCCAAGGCGGGTGGTGAAGAACGGCACCCCTGCGAAAGCGACTGCACTTTCTGAGGGAGTTGGGGTTACGCTCTCACAACTCGGACAAGCCAGGCGAGGTTCCACAAACTTGTGGGGTTAAGGGATTTTTGTTCAGGGTTTTGTGGCTAGGTTGTAGGGACTTAGTCAGGCAACCACCGCGGATCCTCGAACCTGGCCTGCCTTGAAGCTTGGAGTGCGACTGTAGACAGAGCTTAAACTATTCAGATGCAGGTGCTACCGAGTTCTGTTACAGGGGGCGCTAGAATAAGCTTTTTGGAGTAGATTCTAAGGCTAATAAATCGGGGGGTTCTACTTCTTCCGACCTCCGCATTACCGTAGTAAAGCTTATGCCATACCTGTGGGAACTAAGAACGTCTATGCTCGGCAACTTTGTCCTTCTCTTCAACTGCAGCTCTGTCCGGGGAAGTCGACTGGAGGTCCGAATAATGCTTGGTTTCAACTCTCACTCTCGCACAAGGCAGGCAAGGCTCCACATGGCTCCGTCAAAGTTTGGGCTTAAAGTTTAGTGATTTTTTTTCTGCGTGTTTTTGCTGGGCTCTTTTCCAACTGCAGGAACAGAAGTCGTCCACGGGGATGAAGGTTCGGTTTCGGGTTTAGGGATCTATTGAGGGTCCAGGGGACCCGAGACCCTAAACCCTAAACCCTAAACCCTAAACCCTAAACCCTAAACCCTAAACCCTAAACCCTAAACCCTAAACCCTAAACCCTAAACCCTAAACCGTCTAAATGACTAGGATCGGGTATGTTTACGCGACACATATTCTACAAACGCTGAAGCGTAATATTTCTAAAATTTCAAGCCACTGTAGAATTCTTATAGAACCCCCACCCCTTCTTGGAAAAAGAAACAGAACGCAAATCTCTTGAGCCGTACAAATCGCCCTTCAGCCGTAGCCATATAGGGTCTAGGGGTTTCAGCACTCATTGGGTTTAGGGTTTTAGAGCTCAGGATCTCTGATGTTCGGGCTGCTACCCAATCACAGGATTGGCTCAACCTGTGACCAACAAACATAAGCCCTCTTTCACCTAGCCCGCGCCGCCACCCTGCCCCCAAAACTCCAAGGTAGAACCCATGGGCCCCTAGTATGGGCCCTTAACCCTGGGACCCTAGTATACCTACTATATACCCTATATATACCCTTAAGGGACCCTAGAATCCTGTAAGGGCCCCTGTTAGGGGCCCATGGGTTCAACCTTAGAATCTGCCGCCTGTCTTCTTCATTATCTGGCCATGGCTCGAAACGTGGGGGCCCGAAAAGAGCCCAATCTTACAAAGCTTGATAAGGAACTATAGCTTCAACTGGAATCGACCCATAAGATGAGTCAACATATGATCACTTTCTGAGATGCAGCTTGAATTCATCAGGCATCGATGTGTTCTCTGTCGGGTCTCCGCTTCAAGGTCCTTTCGTAGACCCACTTAAAGGCTCGGAAGGTTCGGGATTTCGGGGGTGCTGGAAGATGCGCTTGAGCCGCAGAGACTACGTCCTCGCGCTGAACCCAATGTGGGTTCCTGTAAGGCCTTAGGGGTTCCTATACAGGGGAATTAGATGGGCTTTAAGGCATTAAGGCTTTACGGGTTAAGGCTGAGAGCTCAACCTCCTGCCGCTGACCCGACGTCCACTCCTGAAACCCTCCCCTCAGCCCTAAAACTTAAACTTCACGCACGGCCAGGACAGGTGACGCTTTGGGATCCGGGTTCCCTTCCAAGGCTTGTCCGAGCGCGACCCTTCACAGCAAATTCTAAGTTGCCCGGCAACCCCTTCTTTCCAGGACGGGATGGAGCGCAGACCCTAGGGATCCCTTGAGAAAGCCATCCCACCTGCAGCTGGCCTGCGCCCAAATCCGCACAGAAAACCCTCCCAAAAGCCCTTAAGCGAAAGCCTTACAAACCTTGTACGCACAGGCCAAGGGCCTGAATCTTCGGTTTCCCTTTTTGCAACAGGCTTCGTACTTCGCCTGGAGTCGGTTTCCCTAAATCCTAAACCCTGAACCCCAAACCCTAAACCCTAAACCCTAAACCCTAAACCCTGAACCCTGAACCCTGACCCCTGAACCCCAAACCCTCAGCCCCCAAAAAGCTCTGACCTTTCTTACCGGTGCTTAGTAGGGAATGGGGGAATGGATCCCTATGATAGTCCCTTAAGGTCCCTTATAGTAGTCCCTGTAACCCATTCGCCCATTCCCTACTAAAACCCTACACCCCAAACCCTAAACCCTAAACCCTAAACCCTAAACCCTAAACCCTGCACCAGACAGTTTCTTACCTCAAGCAGCGCCGTCTTCCGGGCCGAAGCGGGCGATCTGCTGAGCCAACCTCTTCCGGCTCGGGCCAGCTTAGGGCTTCTTTGGGCTTAGGGTTTAGGGTTTCTGTGGGTTTAGGGTTTAGGGTTTAGGGGGCTTTTTTACACTCTTACAACTCGGACAAGCCAGGCGAGGATCCATAGGTGCTTAGGTCGGCGTGAAACCCAGTTTTTTCTCTAGGGTTTAGGGTTTAGACGCGGATGTAGGGCGTGGACTCTCTGGATTTTTTTGACACTCACAGGCTGACAAGCCTGGCAAGGTCTGTAGCGATACTGGTCCAACGATGAAACAACGAGGGTTTAGGTTTTGGGAGGGGAATGGACTTCAGCGTGGGGCCCTTACTGAGTTGAACGGAGTTTGCGGGGGGTATATTACACTCCAAGTATATAAGACTATGGTAAGGGCTTCAAGGGTTTCGCGAAGGGCTTTGATTTGAAAAGGCTTAGAAGTTGTACAGAGTCATATGGAAATCTCTTAAACTCAGAGGATACAGAGGATACCTTGTTTGCCATTTTCGCTATCCCACAGAACCATTTCGGTTCGTATTCAGTCTCGGGTTCTATAATGCTGTCCAAGAGACATCGTGCTCAGCCAAGATGTGGGACCTTCTGCGACAGCAGCTTCCTTCCAAGCCTCAAGACCCACGCTTTGCCGAAGCTTTGCTGCTCCACACCCCTACATGATCTATGGCAAGGTCTGATGTGTGGCCTTATGTTTGGCTTTCGGGACCCGTGTACAAACCCAAAGCCGACGTCAAAGAAGAAAAGGGGGACACTTCGCACTGCACAATGTCGGCGGTTCAACCGCTTGACAAGGCAAGGGTGTTCTGGCACACTTTACCTCATGGGCCACAGAAGGATCAATGCGGTGACAAGATGCCAGGAAACAAATGCCTGAGTTTCAAATGGACAGGGTGCCCGAATATAGGCCGCAATAGGCCATGGAACCCTCTCGCCGTCTGCGTGTGCGTATATATGTTTGCATATACATACATGCATACATACATACATACATACATACATACATACATACATACATACATCTATATATATATATACACACATATATATAGAAAGAGAGATATACATATGTATATACAAACAAATATGAGTAGATATATACACATACTTATCTATATGTATCTCTGTATTTACCTATTTGAGTTAGTTATGAAATTATTCATATTCATAGTTATACTTATATTTGCATTTACATATGCACGTTCTCGCAACTCGGACTCAGCAAACGAGGTCTCTCGGTTCGCGTTCGCACTGCAGTTCAGGTTCAGGTCAGCACCATGAGGGGGCATAGCAAAGGCGGTATAGATAGCTCGCTCAAACACGAAGACTTGATTATGTTGGTTTAGTATGTTATTTCTTTATTCATGCTACTTGTTTATTTGATTTTCGTTGGTTTTTCTAACACACACACACACACGCACACACACACACACACACACACACACGCCTGCACACATATTTATATATATATATATAGATAGATACTGATATTTGCATACATGGGTACATGTTCACACACACACACGCACACACACACACACACACACACGCACGCGCACGTATGTGTCATTATGCAAAATGAAACGGGGCTCTGGATGTGGTCGCGCAAAGGTTCCCCTGCCTGCTGGGCGCACTTCAACGCGGCAGACCGGTTGGTGTCCCCGAAGCATTGCAAACCCATGTGATACCTTGTGTTTGCAGGGACTCTTCATACTTAGAACAAGTTTTTGGGGTACAGTGCGATATGACTATTTGTTGTTTTGCAGGAGCCTTCACAATTAAAGCAGGATTTTGGGGTACCGCATGGTGTATTCATGTTTAGGAACCTGCAAGAATAGTACTTCACAGTGTAACTGATGCGACCAATGTCTTAAGCAACACGATGCCGTCATCTATACTGACTCTTGTAGCAGCAATCGGCGACTCTTGCTTCTGCTTCAGTCAGCATGTGTAGGAAACGACCCAGAGACTCCAATATCCCTTAATTAAGGAATATTCCTTAAGTTATAGTAGGATCCTTAATATGACTTAAGGTATATTGCTTAATTAAGGGGTATTGGAGTCTCTGGGTCTCTACAGAACGGTTCGGGGTTTAGGGCTTAGGGTTTTGGGTTCAGGGTTTAGGGCTTAGGGTCTTCGGCAGAATCCAAAGCACACTGAGTACGGAATATACCATGAAGGGGTTTAGGGTTTAGGGTTTTATACCAAGACTTCAAGGGATCTTTAAATGACGCAACGGATTGATGCACTTTCATAGGATTTTGCAGGGTGCATAGGCCTTGCAACTAAAGAAGATGCTTTAAATAATGATTTCCAGAGGGTCTGCTAGCCCTAAACCATAAATCGCAATAACCGCAGTAATATGTTCGGTATAGTCCTGAACAAACCCTAAACTTTAAACCCCTTTCTGATAATTCTTAATGGAAAAAAGGGAATCGACAAGACTTATGTAGGGGCCTTAATAATTAGAATATGGTTTTGGGCTCCTTTTTCGTATACTTATAGTAAAGGAACAGTACTGGCAATTATCTAGGCTTCTATTGTATCCGACCGTCTCTGACACTGGGACTGAGACGGCTTGGTTTCGGGTTTAGGGCCTAGGGTGCTGAGGATTTATTTAGAGTTTAGGGTTTATGGTGCCTAAGGTGTTTGGGATGTTTATGGTGTTTAGGGTGTTTGGGGTGTCTAGGGTGTTTAGGGTTTATGGTGTTTAGGGTGTTTAAGGCGTTTGGGGTGTTTAGGGTGTTTCGGGTTTAGGGGAAATTTTGTTGGACACAATCACCCGGCAAGCCCGGCTCATGTGCTTCGATGTCGCAGCGATAACTCTGCATGCTACTCAGGACCTTTTGGCATGTAACTGCCGTGCAGAAGCGCCTTCTTGTAGCTCAAGCCTCTCTCCAAATTGAGGCACCGCTCTTTCCATTTTCCAATGGAATGAGCAAAGCGTGCTCTGAACACGCCATGCTGCACGAGTTCCTTGTGCCGTCCCTCCGCCTCTCCCAAAGCTTTCGCTTCGAGCCTCTGGCTCACCGTCTGAAGTTTGGCCTCCAGGGACGTCTTCTGGTCCTGAAGCTTTTTGTCGTTGTCCGCGACCAGGCCGTCCAGCTTCCGCTGACACTCCGAGGACATCTCCGCCAAGTCCAGCTCGTGCGCACTACACGAGGGCGTGCAGCTGGAACTGTTCGGCTCGACCGCTTGATTCTCCGAACCATGTCAGTGAGCACCACAAGTCAGCCACAGTCTGCATCAGGTTTAAATATATTTCCGCTCAGGTCGGCCAAAGCCTCCAAGATGAGGCTTGTTTGCGCCTGAGTTGTTTAGGGTCTAGGGTTCAGGGTTCAGAGTTTAGGGTTTAGGCTTTAGGGTTTAGGGTTTAGGGTTTAGGGTATTCGGTTTAGGGTTTAGGGTTTAGGGTATTCGGTTTAGGGTTTAGGGTTTAGGGTGTAGGGTATTCGGTTTAGGGTTTAGGGTTTAGGGTTTAGGGTATTCGGTTTAGGGTTTAGGCTTTAAGGTTCAGAGTTTAGGGTTTAGGGTTTAGGGTATAGGTTACGGCTTAGGGCTTTCCCTAAACCTCCTGACCCGACACCCCAAACCGAACACACAAACCTTCGGTGGATGATACAAACCCTGCATTACCTTCCCAATTTAGAGAACTACCCGTTTGAAGGCAAACCCTAAATCCTAAAGCCTAAACCCTAAACCGTGGGAGCCTTAATGGCTAAGCCAGTGGCCTTTTAAGGGCATCTAAAGGCGCCTCCGCTGGGAGCTCTAGCAATTAGAACTGAGGGGGTCTATATAAACGTTGCTAAAAGGGGGTACTGTTGAGGATACTATTCCTGCATTACCTTAAGGACCCAAAACTATGGGAATTATGGTTTCTTCCTTATTATGGGTAATGCGGGATTTATATCATCAACCGTATGACTAAATCCGTCTGGGGTTTAATTAGGGCTTAGGCTTTAGGGTCTTGGGCAGTTCAGGGTTTAGAGTTCGGGGTTCAGGGTTTTAGACCCCGTACATGCCAAACCCTCGAAACCCCTAGAACCAAGACCCAAAACCATGAATCAAAACCTCAAGCCTCACTGAACGCCCACTAAACCACACAACCCAACAGCCCATTGACGCATGATGCAGAACCATGAGTAATCACTGATACTATTCTTGAGGGTCCCTCAGTAGATCAAATCACTAATCCCTCATCATAACCCTTGTAGTAACCCTTGCCCCTACACCCTAACCCTAACCCCTAAACCCAAACCCCTGAACCCTAAACGCTCTACCCTAAACCCGATAGCCCTTGTAGTAACCCTTACTTGAACCACATTGGAACCCTATCTCCAACCTGAAGGTCCCTGTTAAACCCTAAACCCTAAACCCTAAACCCCCCGAGATCCCCTCCGAGATGCCCTAAACCCTCTAAGCCCTAAGCCCTAACGTTTTAGGATTTAGGGTAAGAAACTCTAAACCCTAAACCCGCGAAGCCCTAAACCCGAACCTTTTAGGGTAAGACACCCTGAACCCTAAACCCTCGAAGCCCTAAACCCTAACGTTTTAGGGTTTAGGGTAAGAAACCCTAAACCCTAAACCCTAAATAACCCTAAATAAGCCTAAATAACCCTAAATAACCCTAAACCCTAAACCCTAAACCCAAACCTTTGAGGGCAACAAACCCCTTTTTAGGATCCTTGGCGCCGTTCTCCTGGGGCGGCAAGATGATTGATGCCTCTTTCCCAAAGACTCCAATACCCCTTAATTTAAGGAATATACCTTAAATTAT